GGCAGAGGACCAAGGACTCATTTTCTAGATGAGAAAATCAAGTAAAGGAGAAATAAATTAGTTGCCCTAGAATACACAACTGAAAAGCCATGGGCATGTGATTCAAACCCAGATTTGACTCTTGTTCCTCAAAGGCTACCCAGCTTAGGCACACACCCATATGCATAAACACTAAAGAATGTCCATGCTCACAATTCTCACACTCACAACTTCCTGCACACATGGGGAGCTCCCTCCCGCACATACACACACAGGCAGGCTTACACTCTCCCACGCCTGAGGCTTGTCAGCCACATTCTCTATAGCTCCCTCCCTCCAACAGGGACAGGGGCAGGCAGGGAGTCCACATTCCCAGGTTTCCGCCCTGACCCTGACCACCCCCACCCCCAGCATACATTCCTCCTGCTGCAGCCAGATAACCAGCCCCAGGGGGAGGCCTGGGGGAGAGCAAGGCATTCTGGGGGCCAGGCCCCTGGCTCTACTCTGGGTTGCCTAAGCCCAGCTATATTGCCTGAGTCTGGCATGGTAGGGACCTAGCTTTCCCTGCAGGGAGCCTCCACCCCTCTAGCCACGCTAGACCCAAGGCTTCCCTCCTTATACCAGAAACTTTCTTAGACCCAGAGCTTCATGCTCCAGAGAGGGAGTTCAGGGGTCTCCCAACTCACCCTTCAGATGCAGAATCGTTTATAGTTACTAACAAGAGCAGGGTCTGAGGAGCCCCGAGAGCTCCTCTCTCCCCCTCCTCTCCTAGCAGGTGAAAGCCTAGATTCCAGGCACCAACAGCCCCTAGGCAGCTTTCCCCAGCTGGGGGCAGTGGGGGTTAATTCTCACGGCTCTGCTTGGGGTACAAGCCACTTGGCAAATTCAGCAAATCTGGAGCTATTTGCATACCCAGATGGCCAAGTCTGGAATTTCAAAGAATTCCCCAAGAGGCAGCTGGCTTCCGGATAGTGGCCCTGGAGGCTCACAGCTGCTGGGCTAAAATACTGGGGAGCCTGGGGCCCCCCAAAACAAGATAGATTGAAAATGAAAAGGGAAGAACCTTTCCCAGGCCCTATCACTAGCCCCCATCTCTGTCCCTCCTCTCCCCCCCACCACTCCCCGTCCCCAGGCCTCCATTCCTCATGGTATGAAAAGCCTCATCCAGGATGAAGCAGGCAAATGAGATTGGGCAGGCAGATGAGATTGGGCTAGTTGGGTGGGGTCACAGGGACTGCCTGCCTCTGGGGAAAGGCAAAAGTGGGCACCAGATAGACAGCTGCCAGAAACAGAAGATCCCCTGTTCACATGAAGAAATGGACAGACCTTTGCCCCAATGCAACCTGCAGCCAAGTGGGCAAAGGCCCTGGCCTGAACCCTACTAACCTGTCCTTGCACAGGGCTATGACTACTATACCAAGGGGCGGGGGGGTGGTTAGTGTACTGACACTTCTGGCAGGCTTTGGGCTAGAATACTAAGCTGTTCCCTGAAATTTATGCTATGATGGAACCTGACTGAACTAGGCACTGGCCCTTCCAGTTCTGGATAAACTATGAACAAAGCCAAGCCCAAACAGGCCTCCCTACCCCAACAAAAGGTCCTCTCAGGTTCTATCCAAGCAGATTTATTGACCACTGAACTCATGGTTGTTACAGCTACAGGTCACCACTGCCCTCTGCTGGCCACTCAGGCACTAGCAATTAACTTAGACATCAACTCACTCCCTGAGCAAATGCACTTCAGTCACCTCCTCTAATGCGCACAGAAACTTAAACTCACCTGTCACCTAAGTCAGGGAGTGTCGGGGGGCAGGGCAAACAAGGACAAACCCAGGGACAGCGTATCAGAGAAATCACGAAGGAATTCTGCCCCCTCGCCCAAATTTGTATTGGAAACCAAAAGGAAATGTCCTTTCTATCCAGCTTGGAGATTGAGCCCACCCTCATGAAAACAGTCCCTGTCCCAAACCTGTTACAATGCACCAGAACCTCCCCTTACCTTTTCTCCTATGCTCTTTGTCCCCTCTAAAGGAGGGCCAGGCTGAGATGACCTGGGGTCATCCTTCCAAAAAGCTAAATTTCTCTGACAGGTCTGAGAAAGCTTTGGTTCCCCTGGTTCTATCACACTGTAGCAGGTGACTGGAAGTCCTGGGTAGCCTCTGAAACAAGGTCACCTGCCCTCAATTCTTAGTGCAACACCCTTGAAAGTAACGACACCTTTCAAAGATGGCAGTGATACCGACTGGTGGTAGGGGAAACTGCCCAGAAAGATCTTACCAGTATTGCCCCTTAATTAGCTGGGGAAAGCCTCAGATATCCCTACTGTCAAGTAAGTAGCCTTGCCAACTATGTCGAACATGGAACATCTCTCACCCTTAAATGGTGCTGGCTCTGGAGCCCAAATGTCATGTTGTGAGTTGTTTCTAGAAACCTCCAACTCAGGAGACCCAAGGAAGGTTACAGCTTCCAAAGCTACTCTAATTTCCTATGGAAAACTTCAAAGCAGAGAAAGCTGGCAATTTGGGGAGTACTTGATCCAAAGGTCAGCAAAACTAAACCCTCCCTTCTCATTCATTCTCCAGAGGCTCTACAATCTAGGGCAGGGGTGTACCCTTTAAGAGTCAAGAAAGTTCAGTACTTAGGGAGAAATTCAAGTAGAACAAGTGGCTTAGGGCAAGGAGAGGTACCTGGGAAAAAGGCAGCTACCACCCCTCATATCCTTAGAAGTCTGAAAAGGAGCACAGCACATTTACCAAGGCTAGCACTGCTCTTCCCTGGACAACAGTCACTGGAGACCTGGCCCACGCACACAGTGGCTGCTTCTTGGCCTTTATAAATGTGATCAACCATTTGCTTTCAGAGTACGTTGCAGGGCAATCAGGAGCCCCAGTTCTGGAAGGCCATTCTACCAATAACAACATATACAGGAGGTTAAAAATAAAATCCCAAGTGAAAACTATTAAGCTGCTCTCTCGGTGCCAAGATATTTATATAGCTCTCTATCTGCTAAGAGGCAGATTATACTTTGCCTCTGATCAAGTGCAGTTCCATAAACAATTGAAAGGTGAAAAGTAATCACTCGTCACAAAAATGTCTGCCTCTGCCTCAACCAGCCCAGGAGCAGTCAATGAGAAAGGGCAAAGCTAGTTGGTGATTGTGTTACACATTCAGCCCCTGAGGCTCAAGGCCTTAAAGGCTTTAGAAGTCCCAACCTTTGAGCTTTCCCACTTATATTGACTAAGATAAAATACAGCAATAACAACATATACATGAGAGTGGGCTCAATCTCCAAGCTGGATAGAAAGGACATTTCCAATAAATTGGCCATTGATCTCACAGCCAATTTTCATATTTCTAAGCCCCTAGGAATTGGCCTGGAAATATTCGAAGGGGACTGAATATCAAACACTTACATCAGCTGGGGCAAAAGGCTTTTAAAGATTTTTGTGAGGTAGAGAACTCAGAGCCACTTTCCACCTAAGCACATACATAAGGAAAAATTAAATAGGCAACAGGCTCTAGGAGCATTCCCAAGGAAGTCTATTTTCTCTCCTTAGATGTATAATTGTATAAATGTATATTTGATAGCTTACTATCTTTACCATTACTTTCATATTAAAAATTTGCTTTCTCGTGTATAAAATCACACCCACCAAAAAACAAACAAACAAACAAACAAAAACCCAACATCATCAAAATGAGGTAATGGGTCCTTACCAATGACAATTTTCTGCAGAGGTAATAGATGTTTATTCCTGAGTAGGAAGGAAGAAAAGACATGTTCATAATTCAGAAGACCCTAGAACTGAAGAAAGTTCTATTAAAAATCTAGCCACTGGGTGTTAAGGGGCACATACAGCAGACGGTCACCTTAACTGCAGATGAGGGAGTTTATAGGAATTCTAACTGTAATTTAGAAATAATCTACTTCTGATAACCTACCTATGGTTCAAAATAACTTGAAGCAAAGAATGACTCAAGAAGTGGAAAACTGGAACAGTTAGAAGTGGAAAAAGAATGCTTCTATTGTTAGATCAGGGCAGAGAACATGGGTCCCTTCTCTCTACAGACCTCTCTACCAGTCCCTATCCCAACAATTCTCCTTCCAAGTCTTTGTACTACCCAAAGTGTAGAAACCAGCAGGACAATGCTACCTTTGACAAGTGGCCAATAACAAAGCATGCAAGTATCTGAAATCATCATGTAGTTTAACAAACAAAAAAACCTGCTCCAACTATAACGTGACCAAGCACTCCATGTTATTAAGCAAAGCAAAGGGAACCCATACACTTGACATTCCCTTGTAACCACTGTCTCACCAAGATAATCAGGGTTACTGCAAACAAGCTTTCACATATGATAAAGCTGAGACACTCCTGTAAAACGCAATGTGATTCCAGGGGAGAACCATCTTGAATGACACTTTTTTTGTGTGAGTGGGGAAGGTAGCCTCCCTCACTGAGCCTTCGTTCTGGCCAAGGCATATGTATACAGACTGGACCAAATTTGTTCCTTACTCAAATGAGCAAGACCAAACTGCATTCAAGGGCCTAATGTTATTTGTGACTATGTATAAACTTTCATTTGGCACCTGCACACCAGGATGGTGGTTTTTATTTAGCACTTAAAAATACTTAAGAGCACTTCTGTGAAAATATTTACATTATGACCTAATAAATAGTAATGAGCTAGCTAGCTAATCTCTAAGATGACAAAAACGTGCTTTCAGAGTCTGTGCAAATGACCCATAGTCAACACTGTAGTTAATAGCAAGTCAAAAACTGATGAATTCCTACCAACCCATGACACTGAGAATACAAGGTAATTTTAGGTTAGAGCTCAATTCTAACTCCTTTCCCACAACTGTTAACAGTCAAACTTTTGCAAAGTCAAGAATGCTAGAAATGTTAGTAAGTAGCCAGCAGCTAAAATGCAGCACTTTAAAAGGTTTCAGGTTGTATCACACGTTAGTTCCCAGATGGAAGAGTAGTGACACTGAGAGATAAGACAAGTTGAACAAGTTTAAAACAAAAGCAGTGGACATTTATTCCTCAGTTTTTGTGCAAGAGTGTAAAGATGCATCGAAAGAACCTGATGACTAGTGAGCAGCCATGGCCTTCAGGCTGGCCCGGTTTACAATTAGATTAAGAGGAGGTGAAAAAATTTGGTAACTTGCCTAGTTCACATGAATGTTTCTGGCAAACACAGTTGTTTACAAGTTTCAAACTACATTTTACTAGAGTTAAGGGAAGACTTCAAAAAGCCACATACAGTACAATTTAAAATTGGATGAACATCCTGCAACATTAGTGCAAAGTAATTATGTAGACTCTCCAATACAAAATTGGGTTCATGTTTCCCAGGTTTGGTCAGTGTTCCTCTTTTACAATCACAGAAGCTTAACTTACCAAATAGCAATGCCTTTGTTTTATGTCCTATGTACCAAGGGAATGTCACAAGGTTTTGCTGAAATGGAGCTTAGTTTCATTAATAAAACAAATTTCTTATTTAGTTTAACAGTCATGTTCTTAGAATACTGCACATATAAGTTTCATGGAAAAGCTTTTAAGCTTATGCCCTTATTCAGTAAAATTAGTTTCAAGATATTCTTTTTACTATGTAAACTGGAATTGTTTCATGATTTTGAAATGCACCCAGTATAATGAAAACATATCAGGGGTGGGGGATAAACCACCACTAACCTCAGCTAAAGTTCTTAAAATCAAAAAGCCTATTCACACAAAATTATATGTAATGACTGTAGTAATCAGTTTATTACACAGATTAATCATTCTTGAACGTACAAGCTCCAGAGGAGCAATTGGGTCTTTAAATATACACAAGTATTCCATCAAATGAATTTTCACCCTTACATCCAGATAGACCTAAGCAGTTAAAAACATAAGAAAAATAAGAGCTATTAGCTATGTATTAACTGAGAAACCACATACAAACCAAAGAATATGGAAGAGAGAAAGAAGGGCTGAAAGAATGAGGGTTAAAGGGTAGGGAGATGTAAGAGCTGGGAACAAAGCCCATCACACTTTATGCATTAATAGCTCCAATCCATTTAAACTTAGTTGACCAGTTAAACTTAGACCTTAAAATACAGGATGTGGGTTGAATTTAATTTGTTGGCCGTAACTTTCACCTAAGACGTAGGTCCTTCAGAATAAAATGAATACAGAAACAGCTTCGTGTTCTTCACCTTGCTTTTCATGTTTTGAGTTTAAAAGGATTCCACTTAAAAACAATCTCCTACAGGTCAGTGGAGTTTTTCTTCCCCATCCAAGCACACACCATACCCACCACCCCTCACCTTGCCGTTATCCAAATTTAAGTCAATAAGGGAAGTTTTTAGTCTCGCACCTAGGTTACACCTGGAGAACTGGCTTGTCACACACACACTTCTCTGCTAGGAGGCAATGTTGGTACAGAAGTACAGTATTTCTAGTTTGTTGTTCCAAGTATGTACAACACGCAGCACTGCTGTATCAGGTAAACATGTGCACAGGGGAAGATGAGGCGTGGGCTCATAGAAAGCAGTCAAATGGAAATCAAAAGGATTTTCTCTTTCAGAGTTCCCCTATCTTTATTTGTAGAGGTTATCCAATAATTTCTTTAATTACATCGCATACTTCTGAGTCCATTCCCGAGCTATTCTGTTGTACCTGTACACACAAAGAGAAGCTTAGCTTAACATAGGTGAGGAGGAGTCAGAAGGAAACAGATTTCATTCACTATCCCATCCAGCAACTTGAAGGGGAGAAATGTACAGTACCTTCAAGTGAAGCCATCTTTTTAACCCCAAATTCTAATAAGCATTTATTCAACGATAGTGTTTAAAAACTGTAATGTGTGAAACAATGTCCTGTAAATGATACTAGAAGATTTTTATTAAATTTTAGCATTTGCTGGTGTACCCTTATTCTATACTCAATTGACCTATATCTAAGAAAGATCTTCAACCTTTGTTCACTTATTTGGAGTTCTTCATACTATATACTTCTACATTATATGGTTCTTGAAATTAGTGGTTAAATTAATATAAGCCTCAATAAAATAACGAGTTCTGGCAGAATTCACTTTAGCAATTTAGTTGCTAAAATGAGTGAGTTTAATGCTCCAGAAGAACATTCTAGTAGTAAAATAAGCAGGGCAAAAGATTCTACAATTCTTTGATTAAAAAACGGAGGCAGGAAAGTTCTGCTGAACATTACCACCACAATGGCTTAGAAAATGGCTTTTGGCAGACATTCATGCCCAAAATTCTCAAGACTAGACAAAATAGTTCTCCAATCAAAAAATTTTATTTAAATAAATGCACAAATAGAAAAAAGCATGATCTAATTTTATTCTGAATGCAGCCAGAAATACATGACTACAGATACTATTCAAATCTAAACGCAGATTAAACTAAGATTAAACTGCTGTTACAATCCCCTTTTCCTGGTGTAGCTCCATTAAAAAATATTTATATGCCTCTCTCATCCAACAGAATTCAAATTATTCTTTAATCTTTCATATTTTAACTTTAGAAAATTATCTACTC